AAGAAGCTTAAGCCGAAGCGCCTGGTTTATGGGTTTAGGATGTAGGGTTCAGGAGTTCAGAGTGTTTTGGGTGTATACTATATGTTCCCCTTATTTTGTCCCACTCCCCAAGGCTTACTGGCAGTCATGTAGAGAAGACAGGAATTGCATAGGGATAATGTGGGGAATGAGAGAATATAGCATATGATCATATTTCCTTATCCCCTACTAACCACCAGCAAGAAGGGGGCTACGTATTGGAGAAGGGTTGGATGAGATATTTTCTAAAACTCCTCAAAGGGTGGCTACATAGTAGGTTACAGAGGGCTATTCTTGGGTTCATTTAGGGGGATACGAGAAGTGAACACCCTAAACCCTAGGGGTTATTAAGGGGGATACTAGGACTTTAGACTATAACCCTAAACCCATTATAATGTAGTAGTTTCCATTTTTTCTCTATCGCTATATAACCCCAATATATTGGGATGCCAAGGCAGCATTGGTGGATCCCCTCGGAGAACGTCAAGAAGTACTGATCTCGCGAGGCAGCTGACCCTTCGCGGTCTAATGTTTAGGGCTTAGGGTCTTCCCTTTATACATGCTATACACACCCCCAACAGAGTCCCCACAGACCCCAAAGTAGTAGGACTTCCCTTATGAGCAACAGCCATCATCGGGCAGAATACCGGAATGAAGTGGTAGTTCCTCTAAACAGGGGGCGCCCAATGTAGACCTCAAAACATTATAATCTTTTTTATGGGGACCCCCCGAAAAGGGATTCCTAAATCTGCGAGACCCTAAACCCTAGAAACCTAAACCCTAGAACCCTGAACCCTAAAATCCTAAACCCTAGAACCCTAGCATCCTAAACCCTAGACTGTAGTTTCCATTTTCTTTTCCATTATCCCAGTATAACCCCGGTATAACCCATATATGTAACCCCTATACAACCCACATATTATATTATAGTAGTTTCCATGTTCTTTTCCATTATCCCATGATATCCGCATTCGCCAGGCCTTAGCCACACAGCGACAGAGAGCTCCTTGACATTCAGTCTTTTTAAGCAACTTGTTAGAGTTCCCAAAATGAGGGATACCTTTTTGTGGGTCCCCATAATAAGGATCATAGGATTTGGGGGTCGATACTGGGGTCCCCTTATTTAGGGAAAGTACCACATGTAATGGAAGCTTGTCTTGAACTGTTGTGGTTTTGCAGCCTCAGGCATCCTACAGCTCTGCGATGACAGGGGGTGGTGTGCCCTCTACTGCCAGGCACACGGCACCTCCGTGGTGCCGCATCTTGGCTCAAGGATGTTGTTGAGGTCAATGTTGGGGGTTATTTTGGGATAATGGAAAAGAAAATGGAAACTACTATAATATGTGGGTTGTATAGGGGTTATATATATATATGGGTTATTTTGGGGTTATATTGGGATAATGGAAGAGAAAATGGAAACTACCTAATTGGGTTCAAAGGGGTTATAGGGTTTAGGGTTTAGTTCTCGTGTAGTGTGATGGGTCAGCTCGGTGGGCAAGACTGCCTTTGCGTTGAATGGCGTGTCTCCTGCTGCCTTGGACATTCTCTCTTCGAGCCTACACATGCCGTTGCATGTCTCCCTGGTCAAAGGAAAACAGAAATCCATGAAGAGTGGCTTCAAACTTTCGAGGCGCTTGAAGGCATGGAGCAGGCCCGCGCCATGGGGCTCCAATCACGCGAGCACTTTCCTCAAAATTGCCGCAGTCGTGGAAGCAATGCGCTATAACAGTGATGCGGTTAGCTGTCAACACTTCCGCCCCATCCATGAAGCGGGCTTCCGAATGCAGCTGCCCACGGCAGCAATGCCGCAGGATCGCGTGGAGGACTTGTGGGAGTTGCTGGAGACAGACACACCGCTGAAGGCCCGTGCCCGTGAGTTGCAAAGAGTAGAATGGTCATCGCAATTCAGCTTGAACAGCTAGTTCCCCTGATGATAACACGATGTCAGTCCAACGGGTCCAGTGACACGTCTCTGGTAGGAGCATATCGTTAGTGCTCAGCCCGGGTAGCGTCGAGAGCACGCTTTACATGAAGTCTGTTTCTTAGAGCATCTGCTCACAGCCCTCTGCAGGTAGTGGCACTCGCTGAGAACCCTGCAACACAGGCAGCCAAGGCCAGCAGAAGCAGGTTTCAACCGGTTTCAACCTGCGGCGACAAGGATAGTAATCCCAAATAATGGAGAATCAAATGGCAGAGCGGCCTAGCGAATGGAAAATGAAATGGAAACTACTGTTTAGGATTTTTGGGAGCCAACATAGCCGATACTCCTGCGACTCTGAAGGAAGCAGGCGAGACGTAGACATGGCTGGACGCATGAGTGCCAGACTCTGAATACGATGAGGCAAAGCCAAGCCATCCATCCATTTGGTCACGGAGCCGACTACAGGCTAAAGGCGAATGTTCTTCTGAGGCAAAGAAGAGTAACCAGAGAAAAGGGGTCCCAAAGTGGTTTGGGTGAGCTCAATATATTGTAAGAAAAGCACACTTGAGCCTGAGTGGTTACCATCTGAACTTAGGCTCAAAACTAGACCCATCTAAGTGCAGGCACCATACTTGGCCCACGTGTAGATGCAAGAGGCTCGGGCAATGCTTCCGCCTGGGGCGGCGCACGTTGTCGCAGCTGAGCAGCATGTCGAGCTGCATGGCAGCATGAAGCAGAAGGCCATCCTTCCTCGGCCCCTTGTTGTGGTGCTGAGACCATCCTAATACACCCAGAACCTCAGTCATCTTAAGTAAGAGTCCAGATATCTTTATCATCTATGCATGATGTGTGTGCGTGTGTTAGAATGCTCGCTTGCTTTGCACTGAGGTTCCTATCAGCAGACGTGAGCAAAGGCCACTGCAACTCTAGTAGACTAGGGTTTGAGAAGAGTAGTGAAGTCCAACCTGTTACACGCCTCAACAACTTGACATGCAGTTTATTTATGGAGCAGTTCGATATCCGATGTTGTACATTGCCTGCCCTCAGCTTTCGTCATGCGAGTTCAGTTCCGTCAAACATCTTTCAGCATGATCAGTCCTAGAAAGCAGGAGTAGTCTGTGAGACCAACCCAAAACTACATTGCTTTAGGAATTATGTTGGTGAAGTATATTTTTCGTGAAGCTTGCGTGCCAGCGAATCAGGCGACACACTGCGAAGACTTTGCACAGAGCACTTGGGCATTTCAATGGAGCCTTTGCAGCAATATACCATGTGGAGAAGGTCTGGTGCAGCGTTGCTGTGCACTTTCAGCCTGAGCAGATGTGGGATGCAAAGCTGTGATTGAGAAGGGGGACAGTACTAACCTCAAGGCACTAAGATGTTCCCAATCGGTCTCACTGGCAACCGTGATAATAAACACCTTTACTTCTGTTTTCATGCATCGGTGAGCAAGGAGGAAGTCATTGCCTTTGGTGACAACTTCAATGACATCGAGATGTGACTCAGCCGCAGTCTGGCTGAAGGGACTTCAGCCAGCTTTGAAGTGACCACGCCGCGCAGCTTGCTAAGCTAGGAGTGTCAAACAACGAGAGTCCATCACGTGAGGCTCAAGCTGGCAGGACACGGCGTGGCAATGCAGAATGCCCGTGAAGAGCTGAAAGAGGCCACGTTTTAAAGCAGGGCACTGAACCAAGTGCATGAACTTGGACAGCAAGCTGCGCTGATCTTGCACAAGCTCCTTAGTGCTAGTCTTCCTTGAGAGTTTCTTGCGCTTTTGTGATGAAGGTTGCCAACAGAGTGAGCGAATGGACCAACGATGATGATGGTGTGGCCAGGCGACGGGAAGAATCAGACAAGAAAATCTGGTCAGTAGCAACGCTTGAGGCATCAAGTTTTCAGAATGATGCGATGTCGGCGAGTTGGAAGTTCTAGCTAGCTGTGGCCCGTGCCTATCCCTGCAATACATTCACGTCCCCCTGAAATCCAATGTGCTATCCATTCCAATCCGAAGAGCAGTTGGATAGGTGGATCCCATGAGCTTCAAACCATTTTCCCTTTGAACAGCTTTACACAAAGACTTTTGATGTCCTGCAAGCTCAGCTGACCTGCAGGGAACTGGAGCAGCTGCTGGCCTCCTTCGCAGAGTAGAGCCGCTACTTCGCGACTGGGGTGAAGCAGATTTGATTAGGTGCCACAAGCGCACGTAGCACTTCCCAAAGAAGGAGTGCAAAGCAAGGAACATGCGAACAACAAAGAATGCATCATGCGCAGCGTCCCAACTACCGGAAATCAGAGCTTTGCATTGCTGTAGCATTCATACCTTCGTTGACCTCAGGCCGTCGTCAATCTCGCGCCCACAGCGCCAGAGACACTGGCCTGGCGACATGTGTGGACAAAAAAGGACTTTGAAAAAGAAAGGATGCGTTGCGAGTCTTCTTCCCACTACCCAGCAAGAGGGAATCACCATATTGGTAGATCCACTCAATACGTTGCATGACCCCAATGCCTGTGCCAATGGTCGTATTTTCAGCTCCCAGGCGTCGCGCGTTCCAACAAAGCAATCCTGGATCTATGCAGTCTAGGATGTTGGGGTTTCAACTCTCTCTCTTCCACTAGTAGTGCAAAGTGAGTACTGCAGCTGACATTTCTGAACATTAGTTTGGAGCAGCCCTCCTTGCTCCCTACTCCAATGCTTCGAAACCCTGCGTTGCTTGCACACAACGAAAGACGAGGTAAGGCATCTCTCCTTGTCTCACCATACATTACGTGCCTCCCTTGCAGTCAAAGCACAACATGCATCAACATGCTGACAGTACGCGAGACTGCTGGAAGCTTTGGGCACAAGCTTGTAGTTGTCGGGGTATGCGCATCTTACCTGTATCACCATGGGCCGCCTGGATTGGGCGCAAGTGTCCTTTGCAGCATGCGTGCTGGTCAACATGGTTGATGTCATGGGCGTGTATTTCACAGCACCTGTCATAGTACCCTACGGCCAGCAGATCGGTGCGTCGACATCTGAGATAGCCGGGTTTTCGACTGTGCGATTTGGTTTGGCCTTAGTCTCGTTGTTGTGGATGCCCAGGCTGGCAGACACAAGAGGCGTCAAACTGTGCCTCCTAATCTCCGTTTTGGGAACTGCCGTTGCATATGGCATCCAGGGCAATGCCTACCTTCTTGGTGGCTGCGACCGACAAATGCATTCCCTGGGGCCAGGAGATGAGATGGCTCTATGGCCAGGACACATGTGTACAGTGGTCAACGGTACCATCAGCATCTCAGAAGAAGCAGCTGTTGCTACTGCAGTGGGCTTTGGAGGCTTGCTCGAGTGCGCTGTAGCGTGCAACAACAAAAACGGTGTCTATGCCATGATGGCGGGTCAAGCACTCGCTGGTTTTTTTGGCGGCACGCAGCCAGTTCTGCGCGCTTTTGTCACACAGATCTCTCTTCCTGACATGGTGCTCGTGAAGCTCCGCAACACCATTCTGTTTGCTTCCTTGCAGGCTGGGAATTTTGCTCTGGCGCCAATTGCAGGAGTTATCAGCCGATTTGGGCTGCACTGGCCGTGGTATGTATCTACTGCCGTTGCCGTGTTGTGTTTCCTCTTTGTCGCCGCCTTCTTCAAGAACCTGCAGAAAACTCCTGATGTGGAAGAAGGCGACGGGCAAGATGACGATGCAACGGCATCACGAAGTATCACCACCTATTACGGACCGCCTCCAATCAAAGACAAGATACTCTGGATCATGTTGCTGGCGTATTGGTGCATTTTCCAGTGTGTCTCCGCGTTGATACTATTACTGCCATTGCTTCTGGAGTATGAGGAGTTTGGCTTTACGGATCTTTCATCACCTGAGACATCTAGAGAGAATGTAGCTGCAGCCACCTCAATGGTTATGGTACCGCACGGCCTCGCAAACTTGGTGATGTCTACCGTGGGCTTCATGATTGTGTCATCCAAGGCCGCTGAGACATGCTGTAAAAACAAAGTACAGGGTTGCCTAGTATCCATATTACTGTAACTTAAGTCTCGAGCACAGCATACAGAGGATTAACAATCATGCACACATCAATGTGTGAGGCCACTAAAGGGAGCTTACCATGTATTCGGGCCCTTTGGAGGTTGGGGACCGCGCAACCATGAGAGGTGGTGCAGCATTAGCATCAGTGCTGCTGTGCCTATATGGCGTTGCCTCGAGCCAGTTGTGGCATCTACTCGTCCTGCACGGCAGCATGGGGGTTGGGCTGGGGCTCATGGTTCCTGCTATTGCACCGACGCTATTAAGATACAACACAATGGCTCATCCAGACAAGGCTTCACAAGCTGCCGCGCTACCTTTGGTGGGTATGCAGATTGGCCAAGTCCTTGGGCCAATGCTCTTCGGTCTGATCATTGGAGACTCACACAATCGTGCTAGGATGAACTTCGCTTGGCTGGTTGCGGGCCTCAGCTTTCTCACCGGCGCCTTGCTTGTAGACCTCTGCTTTGCGCTGATTCAGAAACATCCGGTCACAAGGCGATTGACGCTTTCACCTGACCAGCTCAAGACTATGCTCGAGACCAACGCAAAGGATGAGGAGGTCTTTGTTGATGACATGTGTAAGCTTCTTCGCGGAATGCTGACACACGGTAACCCAGAATATCGGGGATTGAGGCTTTGGTCCGGTCATGCGCAGAGGTTTGTGGAGCGCGTCCTCCGAGAAACCATCCCAAAGCTGCGGCAAGATCCAGAGGAATATTTGGAGGATGCGGCAGCCTGGATCAGCAAAGTTGGCACCGAGGCAGAGCAGGATTTCTTCTATGCCAGATTTCCCCATGTTTCCCGGAACAGGAGGTGGCAAAGCGACACTTCCGTGGCACAGCAGCAGTTCATGGATGCCATCGCCCAAACAACGACGAGCAGATCCAGTTCTTGCTCTGATTGAGCTTACTTCGCGAAAGGTGCAAGTATACAGTGGCTCAGGTGGGGGCTGTATAGTGGGGGCCCAGTCCCGAGCATTGCTCGTGGTAGTTGTTTTTAGTCGCATAGCTGTATAGGTCTCAACCCTCATCCATGGCGGCCAAATCGAGTGCGGCTCACAAAGAGCAGCCTCGGAGCATTCGCAGAAGTGAGCTCAGGAATGAAAAGTGAAGCTTTTGATCTCAGAATCGTTGTTGACCGAGCGCTCGCGCAGTCTGCACAAGCATCTTCTGATTGCTTCAAATCTGATACACATTTTGGCGCGTGTATTGATTGATGGAAAGTTGAGACTATGACATCCGAATTTCCTTCGAGAGACTTCCAACCATCAGGTCTCCAAGCAGATACTGTTTGATCCCAATCGTGTATTTGGTATTCTTCGAATACTCAACATCACCACTGAAACAAAGAAAGTTCCTTGACAAGTATTTGCAGCAAGAACTTCTCAAACTCCAAAGATTGATGCCCGGTAGGCACGGAGATTGGATGTAGTAGACTGTAATTTGAATGTGGTAGAACAGGTGTGAGAACATGTTGGGGAATGTATGTATGCATGTAAATTTCCTGTGCTGGAATTTTGATACGTGAAAGTTGCATGCATCAATTTCAGACAATGTTCCAGCTCACGTTTGATAACAACTGAGCTGCATCAGCTGTTGGAAAGGATAGGTTTCATGATGTACGCGTGCATGCTCCCAAAGCCCAAAGGTGCTTATGCATTTTGGTCGTGAGCGGAAATCATGTCGGCGGCAAGGCTCCAGTGGACTGTTGTAGCCGTCTTGTACACTAGTCTCTAGTTTTTAAACAGCTGATGTGGTCCGCGTGCTGCTGCAATAACCCCCAGGACTTGGGATGCACCGTTGTGTCGCAGACGAATTGTCAAGTATGCTGGTAGAGATTCTTTCCATCATATTGCCAGCCATACTCTTGTTTGGAATTTCGCGCAACGGCATGTTGCAAAAAGCGTCCTTTCATGTGGGGTGCATGGTGGGGGCGACATGGGTTTTCTTGGATATAACATCAGATGGAGAATTTTAACGCGTGCTTCAGGAGGTGGGTGCTTATCCTGCTGAAGCATACAGTGCTCCAGATGATTCCAAACAGACAGAGGCACGATGTGTTCTTGTCTTGTTGACCACCTTGCAACAATGCGACTATCGAAGGAGACTTGCCCAGTGGGATATATAAGAGCAAGGTAGGATGGCTACGTTTAGTACCATTATGATGAGTACGATTATGTTTGTTACTACTGATTTTTTATTGTTGTTCCCAGGCTAATCCCAAAAGAGCCACAAATTGTCCAGTTCGCAGGGATCGTCACCTTTCCCAGCTGCTCGGCACCAAGCACGCTGCACATTGCTTCGGTAGGGAGACACAATCCAACGTTCAAGCAGAGATCATGACAATAAACCAGTGTTACATAGCCTCTGTTGAGCAGCTTCTTGGTCTGTGGAAAATGCATGGGCAATTCCAAGCCTATTGCTGGACGGTGGCACACCCAGGCTGGTATGCGAGATGACTTCACCGAACAGCTGCCCGGCTCAACAAGAGTGTTTGGCAAAGCGCGGGCAACATCTTCTCCAGCCACCGCTTGCTTAGCGATTTGTCACGCTTCTCCAGCTCTGGTCTGTGCAAGTTGTGTCTCCTGGTTTCAGGGAGCTCGGACAGCCTGCTGCAGCCAGGAACTTAGATCACCTTCGTAACTCTGTTAGCAGAATTTTCATCGACTTGACAAGTTCGTGCAGGAAGCTGAAAGTAGTTTTATCAAGATGTGATCCTACGAGCATGAACTTGGTGCTTGCTAAAATTAACCTGCTAGAAGATCCAGTCCCTAGTCAGACAGAAGAGCTGGGCGATGCCGCATGCGTCACATGGCTAAGGTGCTGCACAAAGACCAACTCCCAAATTTGCTGACAAAGTTCCAAGTGCGCCTGGAAAAGGGTCTGGGCCCTACTGCTATGGATCGTATCATGTCAAGCTGGGCCTTGCAAGCGTGAAGGTTTGCATTTCCAAGCTTCACTTTTTTTTCTGTGTGGAGAGCCAGACAAACCAAGTGCTAGGCCATGGAACATTCGGGCTCTGCTTGGACTACGAGGACACAGTAGCTCAGCTTCAACTTGCAAGGTGAACATTTTGCACCAGCTGGATGCCGATCCGGCGGCAGATAGCAATGCATCTCCCAGTACTAGTAGCAGTCGGTGCATGGGCCGCAGCCCAGGAACCATCAGCCGTCGACTTCAAGGTTCCAGCTTTTGGTTACGATGTCTTAAGTGATGGTGGAACTGGTCTTGCCTAGCAGTCTGGTCAGGACAGATGTCTCGTCTTCAAGGTCACCGGTGGCGCCGCCGAGGAATGGAATCAGAGACATCCGAACATGGCCCTGCAGGCGCCATACACCACTTGTAATACCTTGCTTGCATTTGACAGCCAACAGCGTTGTGTTTGCAGGTTGGCGATTGCATTGCCTCTGCCAACGGCGTCAAAGGCTCGTCGAAGGCAGTTTTCGAGTCCATCCGAAAGTCTGACCAGGCGCGCTCAGACGTTTCATGAAAAAGGTCAAATAGCATGCGGAATGGAATTGACTGTGTGGTTTTAGTTTGTCACTTTTGATTTTTGTTGCCGGCAGCAGGCTCCTAGTCATGCGAGAGCTTGTTGGTTTGCTACTGGTGAGTATGCTAGCTGTGAAGGTGGATTTGGACATCGAGCGGCCGCAGGCCGCTGGGCTGAAACGTGGCTCAGTGTTGTCTGAGACCATTTGTCTCCGCCCTGCGGGTAGTCTAATCCGTCCTGTGCGTTTCATCTAAGCAGGCAATGCACGAGGTTTGGCAAAGCCAATCTTGACGCTTACTATCAGATTTGTCGCGTTGGAGAGGAGATCGCGATTGCAGCCGGCAAGGGCGGCAGGCCTGCTTCTGTGCAGGACGTCTTACACCAGACTGCGTAGAGATACATGTAGAGATACTATCGGCTTTTTTTTCAACAGTAGATTCCACTTCTGGCCAAAGAACGCTGTTGAGGAGTATTTGTGATTGCGAGTTATGCTGTACATGAGTCGGTGAAAAGATGTCGTGGCTTCAGTACATGCACCTTGGCATATTGTATCATATTATCCCATAATTCTGAAGAGCCACAGTAGGGCTCGTCAAGATGAAGATAGACTTACCCTTTGGTGGTTTTGCAGCATTTTTTGGGGGCTCATGATACGTACTGCTGATCAAAGAGGGTTTTGGGGGCGTTTTAGGGAAGTGTGTGCTTGATGACTGAATGTGAAGTGTCATTTGAGTCCTTTGTCCCAGACTCCTAGAGTGACACACCTCCGCTTCGTTGAGATAGAAGCAGGTGCACGGAGCTTGGGTTGGGATAGCCTGTGAAGCAGATGCGAGGGCAACTCTTGAAGTTTCGAGCGACTTTGCCCTGCTGCGTCCACAGGCCTCTGGGCCTTCATCTGGCATACGCTGACTCCAGCGTTGTTTGGTCGCAACTGTGATGTTGTCCAGTTTCGACAAACACGCTCAACTGGACTATGGGTTGCGAGGTGATGCAAAGGCTCACGGTTTTGCCCTGTTGGCAAGTGAATTGGGTTTTGTGTGTGCGTGTCACGTTGGCACTTAGCACCGTAAGCCATTGACTTCAGGAGAATTTTGCTTAGAGCAATTGTCTGGTAGTGATGATCGGCCACGGTCCTGATGACCTTAGGTTGGGCTGATCGTGAAGCAGGCAGGAGCTTACCTTCAAAATCCTGTAGTTGTGAGTAGAGCTGCTCACTTCGAATTCAATTACATGCCAGCCAGTCCTGTAGATTGCCAGGTGAACGAGGGCCCTGTGAGGGAATGGAACAAAGCACACCCTGCAGCACCCGTGGTCCCTGGAGCGGACGTCTCAGCTTTTCAGAATTCCCGCAGCGGCCATGTTCCTAAGAGTTACCTAAGACTGTCATAGACTTACCTAAGAGTCTCCGGCCGCTATCTAAGGACCGACTTTTGGAAGTCAACGGATGCAAGTCAGGCGCAAGCTGTGGTCTGCCGTTTCAAAGCTTGGCAGGAGGGCAGGTCAAGGTGGCGTACTGAGCAAGAGACGCTTGCCTTGAAGCCTTGAAGATTTCCTGAAGTCTTGCACCCTGCATGCAGGAATTCAGGACAAGATGCCAGAGCTTCTGAAGTCGCCAAACGAATCTTGGATGTGGCGCCAGATAATGCCATCAGGTGTTCCGAAGTATTGGCATGTCACTCCGTGAGCTGGCAACGCAGGGAAGCCTTTGGGTGGTTCCCAGAATCAGGGTCCCAGGTGCCGTAACATAACCCATAACCAAAAGGTGCCCATGATTTTGAGAACCACCCATTTGCTCCTGCCAAAACTTCTGCCAGTATGAACTATCTGACCATGATATGGACATTACTGGGGGGGCAACAGGAGTGTGACTGTCAGACTGTCCACCTCACATTGATCACACGCTTTTGTGAGATGCAAGTGCTGCGAGTAGCATTTAATATATTATTGTATGATATACTGTACGATCTTATAATATACCATAATACATCACAATATACTATAGCGACGGACGGCACACGCTGTTTGCTAGAGTGCTGAGCGCGTTTCTGATGTGACAGGGTGCCCTGACCCGCTCAGTGTGGGATGCTGGAGGGTTGTTTGCAAACAATACTCATAAAATACTGCAATATATTGAAATATACTACAATGTACTATAATATACTACAACATACTACAATATACTACAATATATATATATAGCAGTTTCCATTTCATTTTCCATTTTCTTTTCCATTTGATTCTCCATTACAGTAGTTTCCATTTTCTTTTCCATTATCCCTATATAGCCCCAATATAACTTATAATATATTATAATATGCTATGGTACTTTGAACCCTAAACCCTAAACCCTAAACCTTTGCTATGGTACTTTGAAAATCCCATCTTTTTCCAAATTGGAGCCTAGGATGATGTGACGCTGCGCATCTTGAGCTGGCCTTGAAACACTTTGATTTGCAGCTGGTTGCCCTACATGGCATATGTACTATAGTCTAAACTCCTTAAAGGGGGGTTATATAGGGGATCATATAGGGGACACTAGGAGTTTAGACTATGGCTTATATGCTTTAGCTGCAGGACTTCAGAAATTTGGTTTTGACTTGATGAATTTGGAGTCAGCACGTTTCTTATGTGCGCCAGGCGGGACTTACCAGCTGTTCTTCAATGTCTGTAACATTCGGGAACTGCTTCCTTCTTTCCAGACCTGCTGAGCAATGTCTCGGTTCAATGAACTTTTTTGTGCCTGACACGGCGTGCGTGTGGGGAGATGCCCTGCTGCCCGGTGCTGCAAACAAGAAGATTGCATCAGGCTAGGCCCGCTGCCCATGGCGCTAAAGTCTCTCGAAGGTCTCGCATCGCAGAATGCCATGCGCGTTTCAAACTTGACGCGTCACCTCCAATGTGAAAACACATAGATGAGGATCCGCAACTGAATTCGATAAACTCTGTAGGTCAAAACAAAGCGCCTACAAGTTCCGCAGAAGACAAAATGATTCGGGATGATGGGCAGCTTGGGAAACGTAAGGCATGGCCTATCTAAGGGGCTGCAAACTTTGCTTCACCCAAAGCTTGCCAGCAAGACGCTCGTAGACAAGGGTTGATCCGCCGCTCACGGTGGTCTTCAGCAGGCTCCAAGGTAGCTCTGTATTGCAGATTCAATGAGCTGAACGCCTGGCGCTCTAGACCGAAGACGGCGCTAGACTTATATGTGAGGCCCCCAAATGCAGAAGCAAATGCACAAACCCAGAGGCTGTACAAGTTGAAACTGCTTTTTGGCCAAGACATGTACTGCATCAAACAAAGATCAGTTTCTGCCTGCAAGCGGAATCCTACCCGACAGGTCCTGTTTGAGGGTTCCGTTATGATGTTGCCTGGCCATGCGAGGGAATGACGTGCCTGCCTTGCTTCTTGCTGCTGGCTTCAGTCCGCGCAAGATCGCCCGAGGTCTCCTTGTCTGGAGTAGATTTTCCAACTGGATCTTGGCGGGTTGCAAGGTTTTCAGCAGGAATTTGGTGTATATCCCGAGTACCACCACTGGCAACGGCTTCAGCCTGGAAGGGCTTAGGGCCTCACTAGGTAAGGCATGGCAGGATTCAACTGGTGTCAATTTGAAGCCTTCGCCTCTGCGCTACGAGCAAACCTTCAAGTCCGAGCACCTACTAGGACGGCCTGCAACGCGAAAGATCCAACACGGAACTATGTAATCTGACCTTTCATAAACGCTTCACAGCTAGAATGTCCGCAATATGGCATGGATTCTGCAAAGCAGACACCATCCAAAACGCAAAGGGTTTGTGACAATAACTTGGGTACTCCGTCCACAAGTGCTCGGGAGGATTGGTGGCCATGCGAGTGTCGCAGCAGCAGTGGAGCTTCTGACGAAGGTTTATGGTGTGTCGACTTTCAAGCGAGCGTTCGGCTCATGTGCCCTTGGAGATTGCCTCGTGTTTGATCGTGTCTTTGCTTCGTGAGAATTCAGCCAGCCTTAGGATGCTGATTGTATGCATTGGAGGTCTTAGCAGCCTCAGCATGAGTCGGAGACCATGGTGTGGGGGATGTTCTGCCGGGACCAGGCAGACGACCAGCAATGTCGACTGGCCAAAGCTGAAAAGGCAGATGCAGGCGATCGCAGGCGGGGTGCCCGCGGGAAGCTTCAGACTTCTCAGAGCTGATGCCTTTTGAGTGCCATCCTCCGATGATCCAGAGAGTTGAGCTATTACCCGGAACGCACATCCTGATTTGGGCTATAGTCCAAATTCCTTGCAGGGTCTTAGAAAGGAAGATTTTATAGGGGACTACTGTAGGGGTTCTTACAGGGAACACTACGAGTTTAGACTATAGCTCATTTGGATTAGAAGGCTGCCATTAAAGTTGCTGTAAGAACTAAATCCTTTCACCCCTGCTTCCTGCCTTTAAACTGCCTTCAATGCAAAGCAGGCTGGGATCCCGGAAGACACGCCTACATACAACAGGTGGGCAAAAGCAGCGCTTGGAGACTTGTACAAGTTCGCTTCATGTAAGGTAAGGTCTGGCTTGAGGCGGTGGAGTTGTATGGCTCGTCTAATTTTGTATGTCAACTCAAGGATGCAACTGGTCAAAACGCATCCCCTGCAGCATAGGTACCACGCATGAAGCAGCTCTACCTGTTTGCATCATGCGTTCAATAGATTCATGTAGTTAAGTAAGTTTCAGAGCAACCTTCTTGAATCAAACGTCCCAAAAGAAGGGTCGACTGAAGCCACCCTACTCGTAGGGCTCAAGCTTCGATCGTCATGCTGAAATCTGCGCAGGCGCACACCGAGTTGCTGGTCGAAATCTGGGGGCGAGTGGAAGAGTGGCACCGCAAGGAGCACAGATCTGTTTGTTCAACTGCAGGTCGCAGCTGCAAATCCCCGCATCTTTCCAATGTGCCCTAGCAGCCTCCTATCTTCTGCTATGCCCCGCCCTGCATGCTGTCAAGCATGAAGTGCCGGAAGCGAACTGCAAGCCCGAGTTCCGAAAGAGGATACCGACTGTCCACTGGGCGAACTCTCCTTTCGTTGGCAACTTCTGGCCAGCCACCTGCCTGCAAGCTAAGTTTGGGTCCATTTTGAGGCGGGATTGGAGGCAGTCTTAGGAGTGTGAGGTGAGTTTGTTTGTTAGAGAGCAAAGGTCAGACCGAGGAGGACCTGACCAACAGCTTCCAGCTCATTGTCGCAGGCTGTACTGTACGTTCCAAGACATAAATCAGGCAGGAGCAAAAATGGATCTTAACAAGTTAAGATAAGAGAGACACGAGGCATATTGATTCATTGATCAGACGAAACATTGCGTGACTTGTTTCCTCCAAAATAATCAGACTGGTCTCCAATGAGCCCCGTGTCACCATTGTAAACCGCGGCCCCGGCAAGACTCGTAAATCTAGAAGGTTTAGGAGCACACTCCAGGTGCCATTTGTAGCGCTCATCCTATCACTATCTCAACATCAGGCCACAGCTTTTGCGCAAGGCCCGGGAGCATGCTTTGGATAGGCCTTGAATGCCGGCATGGGAACTTACGAACTTCAAAACTGCAAATGCAAATTCCTGCAGTTTGGATTGTGAGGGCATTATGGTTCTCGACATATGAGAGCCCATATGAAAGCTAGCCTGGCCTCTCACATCCCTTCACAGTGTGACTTCAAGTCTCCAGTTCTAAACGCGTTCAAAATCAAAAGTTTGGGCCAAGAGCGCCAAATTGGACGTCCGAGTTGTGAGGGTCCTTGCCGCGAACAACTTTTCCTGCCTGCAGGGAAACCGGATTCCTCGTGGGTCGACTCATTGCTTCGATCCGCTTGGGAGGATCTGTGGGATTCGGGAATCTAGAGTACCTTCAAAGATCTCAAAGGGATATACATATAGTAGGGAGGAATGGAAAAGAAAATTGAAACCATGATAATGGAGAGTCAAACGGAAAAGGAAGATGAAATGGAAACTACCACATATTACTCAGGGTGTAGATTAGGGACGCGGGTATATCATACAACTTGAGGATCTGGCATGTTCTGACTTATTCAGGACTATCGTTCTTTCGTTCATGCCGGCGGAACCCTGAAACCCAATACAGGACCTGCAGGAGCTGTCCTGACCAAGTGTGATTATGCTTCAAAGACTATTTGTTGTCAGGAGGCGGACTTCTGTGTTTCCTGCCTTTCGCTTTCCTGGCTTGGGGGTGTTGAAGTTAGAGTTCAGGCCTATTTATGAGCATGGGAACGTCATCAAATAAAGTGTTTTCAACCATATTGATGGGAATCTACATTAGAGGCAGTCCTTTACGCAATGGAATCAGAAAGCGGGCATTCAATGAACATGCCTTCCTCACTTGATCTGGTTGGAAGATGTTTGAAGACAGACGTTCAAGCTTCAAAGGGCTGAAATTCTGATCGTGGCAAATCCCGCTCTTCCTCGAGCCGTATTTCCCAGTAAGTCTGGATAGCCCTAGCCTCAGCCTCAGAGCATTTGAGGACCTGATGAGCGTGCATGCGAAGTGGCACCAGGCATCGGGAGATCATGTACATAGTTTATCATGCCCTCTGTATTCCAAGGGAGGTAGAAAAAAGTCGGATGACAATTGTGACGGTGGTCGGCCTTAAGTTGCTGGAGATCGAACATCTGAGAATAGGTCATGGCCAGGAAGGTGCCGGTGCACCTCTTTGCTAGCATTGTTCTCTTCAGCATGCATTCTCTGTTGCAGAAGCTACAACTGGCACCGCACCTCCGAGTCTGAGGGGGTCGCAAAGTACAGGTTCTCGTATTCCAAAGCTTGGCCGCGACAGATCGTGGAGTCCGGATGGCCGCTCTTCAGCGCCCTCGCGCTCACCGCCAAGAAGCTCTCCGGCCTGCGAAGGCAATCTTCATCCAAATTAGGGCTGCTTAACATTTTAGATCGGCTCACTCATATTCAGGCGCTAAGATGTCAACGCGATTTGTTGATACGTGGGTGGATGAGATTCCTCCTAAGACGCCAATGGCACGGCTCAAGCTGCAGGCTTTCTTTCGTGTTTTCTAAACAGGAAGGTTGCCCTTATGTATTGTTTTCTCGCCGGCCACATTTGTTCCTCAAACGGACGTTGAAATGCTTAGGCATCATGATTCCATATGATTCTCCAGTGAAGTCCAATTTCACCCAAAGCCGCCTGGCGCCTTAGTTGATTGCAAAAACCTAGTGTCTGAAAACATGACACTTTTCGCGTTGTCTTCACAGTGTTTCCGAACCCCCTGGGCAGGAACTCTGCTGGTGGTGTTTCAGAAGAGACTTCCGTCCCATGGCATAACTGACCTGGCAGGCGTAACAGCATAGACAATTGGATAGCTAGTATGGCGGTTAACGTGACATGCAAAGGTTATGGTATCGGCTTCAGGGGTCCCCCTTATAGACCTTCAAACATTCTCATGCTTACTACCTAACTATTATTGGGAAACCCTAAACCCTAGATATCCCCTTTCATAGCACAAGATTACCCCCAGAAAAACAGCCATGTAGACACTCCATGACCAGAGATCTGCAGCCACCTCAAGGCTGGGTTTCTTGCCGAGCCAGCCGACTGCGTGGGCGACGGAGACGTGCGCAGGTGCCAGCCAGAGCATTGTTGTTGTTTTCATTACTGTTATAGAGATTATATATATATATATATGTAGCAACCTTTAGAAATTCTATTAAACTGTAGGTAAATGCGGTTACAGGTAAAACTTAAGCCCTATTTGCTGCTGCAACTTCCACCGGAGTAAGCCTCAGGAAGTTCAGAATGAATGAATGGAATTGCTTGCATTGTCAAATCTCCGCCCACCTTTTCTGCTAAGAGAATGCGCAGGACATTGTGCGAATGCAAAGCTCAGATTTGCTAGTGCCTTGAAAGCAGAGCCTAAATCCTACAAAGAGGCGCTTTCAGGATCTTATGGACGAGGACTGTGGCTATGAGTGAGGCAGATTCACCTTTGGTTGCCTCTCAATGCGTAGAATGTTCTTGCACTACTAGTCACTACAGTGAACGCCACACGGCACGTAGCCTGCGGAATGCGACGGGTCTAGTTCGAGCTCAATTTGTAAAGCAAGGGGCATGGTCAGCGGGAACTGGGCCTCTTCAAGAAAGCCAACGTTGCATTTGTTTTTCCGAGCCTTCAGCGCCGCCCGCCCCGAGCTGTAGCTAGGCTAACGAGCATGTACAAGGCCTGAGGGTGCAGAATTTCAGCCAAATGTGTGGTCATGGAAGGACCTCTTGGCGAGCTCCACGCTTCTTCAGCGGCTTGACATGGGGTTTCTACTCAAAGTACAAGGTTCCAACAGCTTTCAGGCTGAAGACATGAAGTAGAAGGCATTAAAGCGCCTGCAAAGCTTATGGACAAGCCTAGCTCACCGTGGGATTAAATGGGGTGCTATAGGGGTTCTTTTGGGGTTATATTTGGATAATGGAAGCTACTATTGAGGATTTAGGGCAGCATCTCTCTGCGCATTGGCCTCAAGACAGTGGTTGCCAGATGCACTCATAAGATCTCATAAGCTCCTCTCAAGGTCAGCACTGTCTACACCATCGATTCGACGCTGTTCCGCTGCGCTGGCCACCGTGCCACTTCACTAACGCCGGGATGTTGAGACCACAGGGTAAGGCCCCACCATACACCTGTCGGAAATATTTGGAAGGAATTTGGTTCACAAGCTTGAAACATGGATGCGGACCAAGCTTGCAAAGGTAACCCAAGCTGAAGCACACATGAATCAAGATTAATTGAGGTATGTGATCGCAACTGAATATCACCAGCGAGCACGCGAGGACTAGCTTTTGAGCAGTGAGTGTTGGAGCATCGGCCACTACACAATCCCGTTCACGGTGAAGGGAAGTTTATTTGAACATCGAGTAATACGCACAGATCTTGCACCACGGTTTACTGCATTGGCTGCACATCCACGATGGCAACCAAGTTTCATCTGTCTTCACATCGCAGGAAATCATCCATTCCCTTAGTCCCTCTTATATCCCCAAGATATACCTCACTATGCTAGATAGTAGTTTAGATGTTCTTTTCCATTATATCTGTATTCCATCCTTTTATTCACCACCTTTGACGGCTTTCCAGTTCGGTGTTGGAAGAAGTTATGGTAGTTTCCCAAACTATATAGACCCCCAGAACATTATAGTCCTTATTGTGGGGGCCCCCGAAAAGGTACCCTGAACCCTACATATCTCTATATGCCCCCATATAACCCCTACATCAGCCCTTTAAAGGTACCCCTAATTTTGGGAAATCACCTTTAAGGGGCCTGCGAGGATGGCTTGCTGCTGCAGACCTCTGAGGTTGACCGTAGGGTTGCAGGCTTAGGGATTATGTAGGGTTATACAGGGAGTATGTAGGGCTTAGGGATATTTGTCCCAACAATGGAGACTCAAATGAAGAATCCAATGGAACATGAAGCTGAAATTGTGGTCATTTACAGCTGTTTCCATCACGTAGCTTTTGGAGAGTCCCCTGCAATCACCATGCGGTATCGGTGTTAGGCGACCGGGGGGGTTCAGTGCAGCGCTTCACCAAGCGGCATTTGCAGCACTGCTTTTTCAAACTGCTCTAAGGGATTTCCAAAATAGATAGTGTTGCCGTGCCCAGGAGACTTGTTCTGTTGATTGCTACGCATCGAATTTATACAACCATGTCACCTGGCAGGCAGAACGTGGGCTACTCCTCCGTGCCGAGGCAGGGGAATAAACAAGGCCCCCAACATGTTTAGGTCACATTTCCAAATATTCTTCTGGAGGTTCGAGCATTCCTTTTTGATCCAGTCCGCAACCGAAGCACACTTTGGCCACATCATGACAAACGGATTGTTCAACATATGGTGTTGTGAATGCACGCTGGAACACCTGAAACCCATCCGCCGCATCCTGCATCTCCACCATGACAACCTAGACGCATCTTGAGGCGAGGCTTTGCTTGATTTATGAGTCCCTGCCTGCTCAGGGGAGAATACGAGCCCAGCGAGACACTTGGCGTGAAACGTTGACACATCGAACTCTCCTTGTCTTTCATTACATTTCAGAAAACGTTTGCAGTCAGCGCTGTTGAGGGGCCTCCCCAACCATCCGACGAAACTGTTTGGGTTTGCTTCCCATCCAAGGACATGCATCTCCTCCTGAGCCCTTGGCCCATTTGGCACGCCCTGGACCGTTTGACCTGCTCTGGCGTTGTCAATGACCGGGCCCCAGGAGAAGAGAATCTGCAATCCGATCCAGACTGGAAGGCGTCTATCAGCGTCTATCATGCGGCGTCACTAAAGAACCCGATCCCAGCGCCGGAAGATTCACAGAAGCGCTGTGTAAGCCACAAAATTACGTCCTTAAACTCAGCAGTGCAGCTGGCAGTCCAGCTACACCAGTGTTCTACACATTTCACACGGCATGCTGCTGTCACACAAGTGGTGTGCCCAGCAAAGGACACAAACAGTTGGCATCTCAAGCCACATGTTATCCATGCCCAGAATCACATTTTCGGCAAGTATCCAACTTGAGACTCAGGCCACGGTGGTCTCTGCTATTCAGCCCGCAAAGAAATGGCTTTACCTGTTTGTGAGCCGATCACGGGCATCTGAGAAGCAGGACAGGTATGTAGTTCGCAGGCGGGGTTGTTTGTCAGGCATGCGGCCAAATCCATGCAACACACCAGGATGTTGTCGGCGATCATCTCAGCATTTGTTGTGAAGCTACCGTGAAGTTGCGTGGAGAACTCAAGTCGTCTAACAGGCCTTCGGATGGGCACTACCTGCCATCCAACCTAATGTTGCTTGTCTTCGCTAAGAAATTTTACTCATGCTACTGCTAGTCTTAGTGTGGCAGGCAGATAACATTCACCGCACTGCTTCCAGTGCTACCGTGGTGCATTCTGAGTTTTGTCATTGTAGCAGCCACCAGCGTCACGGTTCGATATTCCAGCCTGCAAAGGTAGACGCCAGAGTCTAAACTAGGTTCTACTGTCATGCCGCGGCTTGCACTTACATCCAGGACCTCGTGGTCTCAAATCAAATCAGGGCAGAACGGAAGGCCTACTGCCCTGTGGAGTTTACAACTCTGATGGAGAGGGCCTCTCGGCTCAGGGAATTGTGCAATGAGATGCAATGAGGCTTTGCCACTTCGATAGGCATATAGATTGGCCATAGGTTGAGCTGAAGCAGACTCGGTGAAGTTCAGCCAAGCAAGGCAGATGTCGCCGGAGCGCTTTTGGAGTTTTTGTTTTCACATGTGTTTTGTTGGCCTGAGGTTGCTCAAAGTCAGCGTCCTCTCGAAAAGATGAAGGTCGTGGAGGCCTGTGGCCAACAACAAAGCTGCACTGAGCGATGACAACAATTTAGTGTGGACGCACTGCAGGCCTAATATGCTTAACGAAGGTACTTCTGCCACTGCCGGGAATTTAGTCCATGTTCTGCCCGTGCTTTCAACAGGCTATCATTTCGCAACCTTGAGATTGCACATATGATCGGGTACTTGTAGCTCAAATCTTGGATGGGGGCCACTCTCATGGCTTCCAGAGTATTCTAGAGTTAGACGGTTAGAGTTGAACAAGAAGAATGTTCAAGTCTGGTATCGTCTCATGCTCTGCGACCCTCGGGCATGGTCTCCCAAGTGCTGGGAAGTCCTTGCTGCCGGTGTCTTAATCAGCTGGTTTTGTCTCTTGTCAGGTAGGGGCCCACTACGGGGACTGCTCGCTCTGGACATCTGCGGTATTCAGGCCCAAGGCAGGTACTTGAAGAGTCATATTGCCTTCCCCTGTTTCGGCTTTGCGTCTGTCGGTCTGGATACCTAGTATCATGCTGCGCACCATTATCATCAGAGCGAAGATGGGGCCATAGTCTGGCATCGTGAGACATATGCTTCTTATGGTAGCCTGTACTTCATGCTTTCCATTAAGCGTCAGGTTTCTTCACGTGAAAGGCGCTGCATGGGGTTGCATTCTGTGCGAGGTCAGCTGCGTGGGTATCGAGGTTGCGTGGCCTCATTACTTTGTCTCTCTGTGTTCAGTCAAGATTCGCAAGAAGGGTCAGAGCCAGCCGTCATATGAACCCTCAGCTTCCAAGCGACCATTTCTTAGACGTCATATCCCGCGTGATACTCATAGCCTCCACCTTGACGTTCAAGATGTGAGCCTGAGCCTGCCCTGTGTGAGTGGACAGCAAAGCGCATCAGGACAATCTCAGTTCAAAGTTTGCCCACCCACCCATTCCTTTTGATGGGTTGTCTTCAGCCCGGGACTGCAAGCAGCATTGTCTCTCGAGATGCACTGTCACTCTTGATGCAGTTCACGTTGAAAGTGCGGCCATCCCAAATAAGCATACGCTTCAACATAGGGAGGGCTGGGTGGACTTCGTATGTGCATAGGTTCAAGAAGCGTACATAAGTTGTTTGAATTGTTTAGTCCTCCGTCTCCAGTTTTTCTCTAAAACGAGGGGGGCTGACATCCCCGTAAACGTTAAAATCCATAGGGAAGAACCATGTTGGTCACCTCGTTCCAGGGAGAAGCAACGTTGGCCCCCATGTTCCATAGAGATCCCACCCCCTCTCAATTCACTCGAGGAGCATCTAGAGGCACTCCGGAAAGCTGTTTCATAGAGGAGGTTCCTTTGAGCACCGCGGGTTGGCCGCTTCGGCTTAAGCTTACTGCCCAACCCGTTGACTGCAGGAGATGTCACACTGAAACAGGGTGGACACAGGAAAGACATGGTGGAATTCAGTGCGCTGATACGCATGCCTGGCACATGTTTGAGGATGTCTGAAATGATTGAACAGCTAGTCAGCCCGTTTTTCTGAACCTCCAGCTCCTTTGAGGCCGACCTGACCCGCTGGGAGCGCTTCCAGCGGGCGAAGGTGACAAATGGCTTCGAGGAGCCTAAAGTCTTTCTTGAAGTTGTAAGTTGCGTGGTGCTGACCTCCAAGGGCTGAAAGCTTTCAGGCCGGGTTGCGCATGCAATTCAAATGCTTGGATGATGAGACAGTTTCCTTGCGCTGGCGTTCTTGCCATCATGGGCACGCAAATCATGCCGGAGCTTTTCAGAGACCTAGGATTCAGCTGGTTCACGGGTGTGTCTTGTTCCCACGCGAGTAATGCCCACCCCCTCATACAAATAAAAAGTGGTGCGCCTGGGGGGGCGCACAAATGTAAAGCGGTTTTGCTTTACATTTCTGAGCTCCTGATCTGTACTGTTGTTCGTGGGAGGTGGGGCAGGAGGGCAACCATGAACTTTCCATGAAGTATGTGCATGGATGAAAGTGGGGAACCCCAGGAAAGGTCGGAGTCTGTGATATTATTATCTTGTGGTGGTTGGTGCAGACGGCAAGGATGACGACATATGGGCCTCAGTAGTCTTGATGGACGACAGTGCTGAGAAAGCCCAAGTCTGCTGCCGGAGATGGCAGCGCGGACAAAGCTTTATGGGAGTTTTCCGTAGGCTGCCCCCTCTAAGCCAAGCACCCCACCGCAGACGACAGGCCCCATAGAGCATGCCTCAGAGGGGGGCGGAAACTGCATAATGAATTTTCCGCTCACCCCCTCCTTCAGGGAGGGGGATCATGAAAGCTACACACATGTCAGAAAGGTATTCCTCTACCCCATCTTGTTGCTGCTCCGCAGTTGTTGGATGAGCGCGCAGGATGACACTCTGCTGGTTCTGCATGGCTTCGTGGCCGAATCTCTGAAAAGCTCTGTGCAGTATGACGCTGGGCTGCTCACGTGGACACTACACCTTGTTAGTTTTCGCCTATCCCTTAAGCAGGCTGGTACCTTCAGGTTGAATTCCGACGCCCTCCTGCCTCTCCTCTGTACAAAAACATTGGACCTTAGTTTCAGGCTTAGATTCTTTGCAGTAGCATCTCATTTCCTTGCAGTCAGCATAGCAGCAGCAGTAGCCTCTCTTAAAGCCTTGCCATCCTTGTCAGCATCTTCATAGCAGTCAGCATCGAGAACATCTTCAGAATCTTGACCAGACTTGATGGCAATAGGAGTCCCAATACTCGGCCTGGGGTCTAAAGCTGCAAAGGTGACAAACTTACGGGTTGCCGGTAGGAAATAGGGGGCTATGGTCCCTGCTTCATCCCCATATGTAGCATATTCCAAGATTCCCTACTAGGTCCAAGGAACCAAATGTGTCTCTCATGGTGCCCCTATCAAAGCCTAGCTTCCAGAAAGCCAGGACTTGCGGACCAGCGGGCTGTTGCCATTTATTCCCAGCCGCTGAGCTGGATCTAGCATGCGTTGCGGTCGAGCTGGATTCTATTGGGTACACATTGGGGTAATATAGGGATAATGGAAAAGAAAATGGAAACTACTGCAATCTAATAGGGTGGTAGACGCAGAAAGCAGCATGGAAGGCATTGCCGAACTTGGCGCAGAAGTCTTAAAGTCTTGAAGTGACGGTTTCCGTAACGCAAGGTGCGCTCGACTATTGCAGGCTTTGGACGCCAAATGCTTAATGACAAGCCTCCTATTGCATGCATCAAGCTAGGATGCCATCCGTCGTCCAGCGTTGCGGAACAGTCCAAGCCCCAAAGCAACTTCCACGGCTGCAGGGCTGGCGCTGGATGAAATCATCCGCACCTTGGTACAATGATGACAGTTTCATCCTCAATCAACAGCGAGATTAACGGCCTCAGATGCAGGCTAAGCGGACCACCTCCTGTGAGACTGTTGGCAACATACCTTGCTGGACAGAGTCCATGAGAGTGAGGGCTGCAAACAAATCTTCAGACCATTTCATGAGCTTTCTTCCTCCAAGCGGTTATGACCTTTTGTAGGATTCATGAGTAAGACACCAGTCCTCGCTGTGAATCCGACCAAGGGATCAGACTTCAAGTTGCTCCCAAGATCCTGAGGTGAGCCAGTGGATGTGCTGAAGGTGAAGGCCTCAGGAATGGGCCGTTGCATGTCAAATGCGCGAAGCTTGTAGCCAATCATCACACAATTGGGGAAAAAAGTTCCCCAATTTTTTAGTATTGGCATTTGTGAATTTTGCCTGTCTCAGGTGCACACGAACGGCGGCATTTCAGCTGACATAGACTTCTGCATCAGATCGATTTTTGCAGTTTGGCATGCGTGCTCCCATCCGTCGACAATTGTTAAAGGTGTTGCTGTTCCTTGATTGTATTTACTGCATAGACATGCTCTATACCCTATTATATGAACATTAATTTCCATGTTCTTTTCCATTATCCCTAAATTACCCATGTAAAACCCCTATATATATATATGTACATATATATCCTGCAGTTGGTTTCCTTTTGCCAGCTTCAAGGCGAGCACAAAGTCCTGCTTGGCGCGAGGCGGGCCTTTGCCCTTGGTGTGCGAGCTGTGGTCCGGGGCCCAGGCCTTTGGCACCTTCTTGGGTGCAACCTGCCTTGACATCCCAGTAAGCGAAAACCCGGAGCGCCCGGTATAGACCCAACCTTGAGCTGCCAAACAAATTATCTCGCCTGAACCCGAAACCCGAAAGCCCTAAACACAATCGAAGTATGTCGGCCTCTACAGCAGAATTGGAAATCAGAGGTTGTTGCCATCTTGAACTCGACCCTGGGGCTACGTTCCGCTCGATTCCTGGCGAAGCGCGGATACGATGCCAGGCTTGCATTCCTAGAGATCTTCTACCTTGGTTTAGGGCTTGGGAATCCTTTAAGGTACTTGTAATCGTTTGGCAGCAATATAAAGCCCCCGCTACTATGAAATACGGGTTCGCCTGAATTCCAAATTCTGAAATCTGCCCCCAAGACTACTTTTAAAAGGCCCAGATCCTATTAATTAGGGGGGGTTCTAGCACGACTCTTAAGGATTAGGGACCTTTCTTGTTTTGCTAGATTTTGATTGTTTTTGAGTGGTTTTCGTAAAGGGATTTATATACAAAGATTCCAGAAACAGATTCCAAGGCCCTAATTTCGAACAGTCCCTCATAAGGCCCTAATTTGGCATAGTCCTTAGTAAAGCCCGAATTGAAATAGTCTCTAGAAATAGTTTCTAATAAGGCCCTAATTTGAAGTAATCCTAAAGAAGGCCCTAATTTGGAATAGTCCTTGATAAAGCCCTAATTTGGAATATTCCCCCATAAAGTCCCAATCGGGAATAGTCCCCAAGAATGCCCTAATTTGAAATAGTCCGTAATAAAGTTCTAATTCGAAACAGTCCCTACTCTGAAATAATCCCTTATCCCTTATAAGCCCTAATTTGAAGTTGTCCCTGGTAAGGCCCTAATTTGAAATAATCCTTTTTTGGATCTAATCGAATTTTATACGATTTTTAATCAGGTTTGAATAGGACCCCATTATGCCCCCCTTGTATCAGGAAGGCCACGGTTCCATGCGGTTCGGTTTGTCAGGAATCTATGAACCTTTGCCCGGTTCGAGACGATTCGATTCGCACGGTTCGGTTCCACCGTTCCTCCGGTTCCTATTTGTACACGAGGGTTCAATATACTGGGGTCGTACGATAAATATCCCCCCTAATATCAAATACGGCTCATGTCATTGTGGTAACCCCTGTATATAACCCCTAATCATGGAGTGGCAGGCAGATGTGTTACGCAGCATGGGTTGCTTCTATGAGATATGACCATAGTGTTGCGACCTGCAAGGGCATTGCAATGCTGGCCTCAAATTATAGATGGCATTTTGCCAGTTACAGCATCGAGTTCCAAAAGTTCAGAAGCGCAAGTTGCAAGTTCAACTGCTGTTTCGAAGAGGTTCTCTGCAAGGCGCTAGTTGCATATGACCTCATGGCTAAAGAAAGCCAATGTAGACTTGAATCAGCAGCCGCTAGTTACGGACAGGTCTAGCCTCACTTCCTCAGTGCTGAGCTTGCACCATCATGCACTAAGCATTCGAGGAAGTTCATATTGGCAAGCAACGCTTGCAGCCTCAGAAGTTGCGGAGGGCCTCATACATCGGCAACATTCTCCAGGCGCATGGGTGTCAGCATGACCCAAGATGGACTTTCCGGGACCAACATATAAGAATACCACTGCTATAGCTGATGAATGTAAGGCGGAGGCGCGGAGACAGATGGTCGCTATCCATCCGGAGCTCGTCACCTGACAAAAAGGAGCGTGCCTGCCGCAACATGTCAAGCGACCATAATCTTAGTCTATTATGATTAGTATTATATTATCATTATGCTTGCTATTATTCTTATTGCTCATATGCTCAAAGAGGATTTCAGAGGAGATGGGGGATCTCTGCACGGGAAGCCTCATGCATGCAGGACCATAGATCCTACAGGTCTCGCTTCCTGGCTTGGGGAAGTGATGCAAACGGCTTGTGGCATTACTGCTGTCTACAGGAGGTCCTCAGACAGTTTCCTCTCATAGTGAAAAATATAAACCCCCTTGTCGTTTACCTTGTGGTATGGCAATTTTTTGAGGCACCGACTCAAAGAGTCCAGATTTTCGGGATTGCAGAGAAATTGTGCGAAAGGCTCGCTGAAGGTTGTCTTGAAAGCATTGAGTTGGTTCGAAACCTTTCGCCTGCTCAAGCTGTGAGGCATTCACACGTCATGAATCACGTCACAGAGAGTGCTTGGTAACCATTCCTAGAGGCATTGCACGGATTCAAGCCGGATCGCATCAGGCAGCATAGATTGGAAAACAGGTACAGGCGGTGGAAGAAGGAGGCTGTCGGCAGAAGCTAGGTCGATGGACCCCGTAGCATGCAAATAAAAAAGCCCCATGACTACCTCTCCTGAACCTTACTCTCCAAGCTGTTACGTTGCAGATCCTAATCTTCCGATGTGGTAGTGGGGGCGTTATAGGGAGTTCATCAGGCTGGAACTTACAACTTTCATTTTTTGCTTGCGCATTTCAAAGCATTTTTTTCGATGATAGAAGCTATAGTATTTTTTCTCCGATATTTCTTATCTCTATAAAGAAGAAAAAATATATTATTTCGCATGGATATGGGAAGAAGGATTTTATATTAGAATTTATACAGATATTTACCAAAAAATCGATAGACGGATATAGAAGATAATGAATCAGCAACAATAATAGATTTGGAGATATATATCTAAATTAGAAAGAATATTTATTTCATAAGATATTACGGCCAAATTTCGAGATGATATTAGGATCGTAAAATGATATGGGACCTTCTTTTTTTTGATCGTGGACAGCTTTTTTCTGACCATGGATCTTTTTTTGACCGTGACATCTTTTGATGTGGTTGTGCGGAACGGTGCATCTTGATTTTGACCGTGGATGGCAGTGCGGCATCTTCTTTCTGACCGTTGGCAGCTTTTTTCTGACAACATACTTATCTTCTCCCCTATATTGCACCTATATTGCACGTTTTGTTTCTGATTGTGCGTGTCTTTTTTCTGATCGTGCCTCGTCTATGATTTGACCGTGGTTGGGGGGCGAGCCTGGAGCTTTAATATAGTATATTAAAACAGGCGGATGGGTGTCTCTTTTCGCTATTGCGCTGCTCGAGTATAGAATCCCTAAAACCTTGAGAGCAAACACAACATGTCGGTTGTATTCTTATGAGCTGTACAGGAATTGAAGCATTGCAACAGGATTATTGCTAGTTGAAGCAGGCGCAAATTTGCAAAAAGCTGCAGTGGGCGCTCAAG